GGAGGGAGGTCTTTTCAGCAGGAAAGTAAATCGCATTCCCGAGGCTGAGACTGTAGTGCCCTGTAGTCCCGACTGCCCTACCTTAAAGAGCACAGCACTTTCAGAGAATTTCCCTCCCAGGATGACCCATACATAACCCCTATTTTCTCTTCTCCACATTCTTGTGCAACAGGGGGTTTAATGCCCTTCTAGAGATTTTCTGCCATTCCGAATTCAGAACGCAACAGCACTCTGCTCTGCTGAGACAAGGGATACAAAAGCAAACAGGACACAATCCTTGCCCTGGTGGGCCAGGCAGTTCTGGGAATGCATTCACTGAGCATGCTCAAATGGGGGTGTTAGGCCCAGGGCACAACAGGACCCCAGGGGAAGGTGGGGAGGGTGTCATGGAAGAGGAGACATTTGACCTAAGTCTTAAAGCAGGAGTGGGCAATGTGCAGATGAAAGATATAGCTTCTTTACATTACTGTGGGGCCTGGCCTCTGGGGAATAAAGCTCTCTTGGGTGAGAACTACCTTCTCCTTGTAGCCCTTCTGGTATACATTTCTTCAGTCAAGAAAAATGATGTTACCCAGCCAAGTCAAACAGCCTCTGCCCGGCCCTCCCTGTTCACACACAGGCCGGGAGAGAAGGTTGGTGATGACGGTTTCATTGTTTTCTCTGTGCCTCCCAGGGATGGGGGGCAGACACAAGGGCTAGCTTTGTGATAACTGTGCTCCTGGGAAACATGAAGCCTGGGCTCAAGGAGGCTGTGACACCACAAAGGGACCTTGTACTCCAGCTTGTTGGGGGACAGACCTTAACCACTTTACTTGGTCCATCTTCTAGCTGGGGGAGAAAGCGGGTACTCAGGCAGCTCCTTCAACTCTCAGCAGCCCCTTTACTGGGCTGGGAGGTAAGAGCTGTCTAGAGGACCCCAGTTCATTCCTTCCAAATATTTATTGTTGACTTAAGGACTCTGTGCCTGGCACTGTGCTAGGAGCTTAGGACTCAGTAGACAAATAGGCAGGCATGGTCCCTCCCCTTACAGAGCTTTCAATCTCTATGTGTGTCTGCACAAGTAATAATAATGATGATGATGACAGTAGCTAATGTAGGCATCAGGCACTGTTCTAAGCTCTTCATCTGTATTGTTTTATGTGTGTATTAATTATCTATCGTTGTATAACAAATTATCCCCAAACTTAGTGGTTTAGAACATTTATTTCTTCACCATTTCTGTGAGTCAGGAATCTGGGCACAGCTTAGCTGAGTCCTCTGGCTCAGGGTCTCTCCTGAAACTGTAGTCAAGGTGTTGGCTGCAGCTCGATCGATCTCCAGGCTTGACTGCGGAAGGGTCTGCTCCCCAGCCCACTCATATGGTTGCTGGTAGGATTCAGTTCCTCACTGGCCAAGGCCTCCTTTGAGCTCCTTGCCACGTGGGCCTCTCCGTTGGGCAGTCCAACAGGGAAGCCTGCTTCATCACAGCAAACGAGAGAGAAGAGCCAGAGAGAGACAGTGTGGGCAAGGCAGAAGTCAAAATCTTTCATAACTTAATCTTGGAAGTAACATCCCATTGCTTTT